GAAATAACCATCTAAGCATTTTTTTTTTAAACAGAAAATGTAAACGATCCATGTTGTACACAAACCAATAGGTTGGTTCATTCTTAATGAAACATGTAAATTTCCCTTTGCATGTGGCCCTGAGAAGTTGCCGATTGAAGAGAGCCTTTTCCCTGATTAGTGGCCTTTTGCATAACACCCTCCATGATATAGTCATTGAAATGAAACACATGCTGTGCACAGCTGCCTCAATTTGTGCAATAGATCTGCTGCAAAACAAATTTCAGCTGAGAACTCCGTATTGGGGAGCTGCTATTGAATTGGACGTTCCTTTGAGAAATAACCCAGCAAAATTAGACTTTTAAAGTATCACCGTGCTATAAAAACACGCCATGATTTATTACTTTGTGCCTAGTTCACCTAACCTAGACCCATTCCTCCATAATTGTCTTTGTTATATCCACGTAATAATGGTAGCTACTTTTTATTTTCTAGGAGCCAAACATTATGCTGGTTATATTACCTATATTGACTCCACAATCCCAGAACAATCCGTCAAAGTAGATGCATATAAGCAAAGACCATGTTTTTCCCATTGTGTTCATTCATTGTTTATCCCAATAAGCAAACCAATAAGTATTCCTAAGCCTCACAGATGTGGATTCATGCTTTCTTAAGCTTTTAACTAATAGAACACATAAACGGTGAAGTTATTTTCTTTTAAAAAAACATAGAATAAAAAGCTTTCATATTGATGCAAGAGATTCTAAACTTCCCTGCGAATCTTCTCACAAGTTGCTACAATATTCTTTCTCAAATAGAAAGCATCTGGTAAATATTAACCTGTAATTTCAATGGTCTGTGTTGTAAACATCTCTGTTTGATGGCAATTACATTCGGAAAAGGTGTCATTTGCCTACCCTCCCATCTCGTGCCCAATCAGTAGCAATTTACTGTCAATTCTACTTTCCTCATATTTACTGAATGCATATCTTCCTATTCCCTCAGTTCATTTTCATTATCTCTCACCTTCATTACTGTAGCAGAGCCTGACTATATACCACAGGTTCCTTTTTTCTCTGGGCACACAGCGAGACTATTTCCCAGCCTCCCTCACAGCTAGCTGGAGCCATGTGATTGCATTCTAGCTAATGGAATGGGTGCGAGTGTTTGCTCCTTCCGGATGGCCCATAGAACCTTCTCAATAGTACCTTCTCTTTCTCTTCTGCAATCTATGAGCTGAATGGAGGAGACTCCACAGACCTAAAGGATGGCTAAGCCAAATATCTAAGGAGGCTGAGGCTTGAGTTACAATTTGGAGGAGAGCTGTGTGTCTATATGAGCCGCCTGACCAGGAACCCCTGTAGTGGACTGCTGGAAAAGCCGGATGGATACTTCTATGGTGCTGACACTAAAATATAGGGATTATTTGACAGTAGATAGCCCCTCTGAATAATATACTACTATAATAGCCTTGTTTCCCAGCTTTTTGCCTTAATGATGAATCCATGATCTCTACTGAAATCATATTTATCTTCCTAAAACAGCACTTTGTAACCATCACCCACATTAAAAAATTATTCACAGATGTACTAAATGGACACATACTGGTCACTTATTACGTTTTGGGCTAATTTTTTTTACGGAATCTTACAGTTGACAATTTTTCACCTGGCTTTCTGAGATCTGTTTGTCTTTCATTGCACATCCTTGCCCCATATCTCTAAACTCCGGGCAATCTAGGTTACTTGCAATTCCTGACATATGATTTAGATTTTTTTTTTTTAAAGATTTTATTTATTTATTTGAGAGAGAGAGAGTGAGAGAGAGAGCGCAAGAGGGGGTAGGGTTAGAGGGAGAAGCAG